GGAGACACTGCCTTTCCGATGCAAAAAGAATTATCGAAATCGGTTGACGTGGTCCACAGTTATGCGGTAACATACATAAAAAACAAACAAAAATAAAATTAAATAAGAAATTAAAATAAAATTAAATTAAATTAAACAAAATGAAGTAAATCAAGAAAGTATTATTTAATGAAATAAAATAAAACAATATAAACACAAAATTCCATTAAAACTAAATAGGTTAGGTTAAATAAAATAAAGTAAAATAAAATAAACAAATTAAAATACATTTAAATAAAGAAAACTTAATTAAATAAAGTAAAGTGCATTAAAAAATAAAAAACCAAAAAAAAGTTGAACTTAAACCCAGAACAAACGTTGTTCAAATAATAAAATATATTGGAAAGTAAATTAAAAATAAAGAAATTTAACTGAGACCATAAGTATTAAAATGAAAACAAAATATGTAAGAATGAAACCAATTAAGTTAAATAAAATTTAAAAATTAAATAAAATTAATTATAAAAAAATCAAACTAAATGCAGTAAGAAAAGAATTAAGGAAATAAATTAAATTTAATTAAAATAAATAGTATAAAATAAACTAAGATAAAATTAAATAAAATCAAATTACAAAAATAGTTATGCAATAAAAAACCGAATAAAATAAATTTAAATAAAGAAAATTTAATTAAACAAAGTAAAGTAAATATAAGTAAAATTATAAAATAAAAAAAACATTAAACTTGAAAACAAAAACAAACGTCGTAAAATTAATCAAAAAAATTGATTTGAAAGTTAATTAAAAATAGATAAATTTAACCGAAAAGGTGATAAATAAATATTAAAATGAAAACAAAATATGTAATAAACAAATATTAAAAAAAGAATAAGCAAATAAAAATAAAAAAAGTAAATAAAAAATTAATTCAATTCAGTAAAATTCGTGTGAAATAAATTATGTAAATTGAATAAAATTTAAATAAAGTTTTAGAATAAAAACTAAAACTTAAAAATTGCAAAAAATAAAATACAATGAAGTAAAAATTATTGAATACATAATAAGTTTAATTAAAAATATAAATAAATAGTATATATATGTACTAGGGCGGGTAAATTTTTGTGCGGGTATCGCACGATTCTACGTGTAATTCTAAGCAATTTTTCTGAAGAAACTATGGGTCTAAAATCAATTTGGAGTTTGCCAAATTGCGAAAATAGATTTCGAAGAAAATGTGAAAATTTTCACTGTTGCGACCTCTGGTGAGAAAAAGATAAGTGCAAAAATGGATTTTTCATACCAAGAAACCTATTTTCGCAATTTGGCAAACTCCAAATTGATTTTAGACTCACATTATCTTTGGCAAATTTGTTTAGAATAACACGTACAATCCCTCTGTGCTATACGCGCATAGTCGAAAAAATCTATAATAAAATTTAATAAATTCAAGTAATACAACAAAAACTAAAATAAACGACGACGGAAAAATATAGTAGAATAAAATTAAATAAAACATTTGTTTTTGAATTTCAATTATATATAATTATAATAAAGTAAAATTAAAAATTACAACAAAAATTATAAAATAATATTAGATAGCCATAACGATTGCGATGACTATGATGTGTGATGTGTACGAAATGCTAGTCGTTTAAATTCTTAATATTGAATTTTCTCTCCCACTAGCAAGCAGCTAAGACACGTAAAAACTCCACAAATATTGTATAACTGTAGTCATAAATCTCTATTTAAATTCATACGGTCACATCGAGTGGCCAGCATAGCTGCAATTTATTCGCACACGCACACACCTATACTATCAGCAATTCGTCTCCTGCGCATACAAATTACCACTAATTGAGTATATCGTTCAGCTGCAGGAATACTTTCCTTCCCAATTACAAATTGTTGTACTTGAAGTACATAACTTCGGCAAACTAAGTCAAATGCGCAACATTGGACAAGAGCAAAGCCATTAAAAGAAATACGTGACATTTGAAGCAATTAAAGTGACTGCATGGAAGTGTAAAAACGTTTAATATTTATTTTAAATGATACAAAGTTTCAAAAAAGCAAGAGAACGGTTAGAGAAAGGGAGACAGATAGAGAGGGAGAGAACGAAAATTAAAACAAATAATGTTCGACATTGCAAGGACATGTCAAGTGCTTGTCTTACTAGTAGATACACAATCAGCAAGCCAATCTACACTTACAAACTGACCAACTAGCAATCTTTAGAGTATACAGTCCACACCGTTCCTAGCATTCATCCAAGCAGCAATAGCGATTATGTTGTCTCAAGGACCTGTGCTCGCTTTCGCACGCTTGCCGCGTTAATTAACACTTACAAGGACTTTAAACTCTTCACACACAGAGGCGGGCACACAAGCAGCAGCGCACGGTTTTGCTTCTTTTACTACTTCTGCCACTATAAGCACTTCAAGAACCGTTAGACTTTGATTGTGTGGTGTACGCTTTAATGAGTGCGGACATGCTTTAAAAGTTTAAGTGAACACTCAACATCTGTACACTTTGATATACTTATACATATGTATGTACACAGTTACAAAAACACGTGGGGTTATTTGATTCTCCTTAGCTCTACTACGACCACACTTTTTACAGCAACTACCATTTTTTCCAAGTCCACTCCCGAACGCTTGATATTACCAGTACTATAATAGTTGAGTGTCGTTGGTGTTGTTCTGCCACCAGTGTGACAATCCTTCTTGGTGGCCTTTGTTGTCGGTGACTCCATTTACTTTACAAATAAAAAAATTTCTACGTTTATGCGTATGTTTACGTATATGTATGTAGCTCTCTGCATAAGTAACTCATCAACGTTTATCTGATGTTTTAGTTCGCCTAACAGCAACTAGCGTTTGTATGTATATTGCTGGTTGGCTTTTCATGGACAGTGGACTTATGAAGCTTAAATAGGAGCAATAGGAGATCGTACACGATTTAATAAAGCTTTGGTTATAATAACTATGTAGTTGCTTTAAATGGCTTAGGTTGATTTTAGACGACGTTATTTTGTTGCCTGCCAGCTCAGAGCCATTGCGTACAGAAAAAAGGCTTCTGGCGGTATTTCAGAATATATCGATTTAGTCATTGCTACTGCTCTGTGGAATTTCCGCACCTTTCAGCTCTTCGGCTTGCTGAAGTTTTCAACTTTAATTGCATTCGGTTTCAAAACTGACCCAGCTGTTTTAAGTTATTTATCTTTGCTTCAAATCTTCGTAGTCGGAAAAATGTCTCTGCCGATGCCGCACGTAGGGAATATATCGCAATCGGCGAATCGAATAAGATGACTTCAGTAGCCTGGCCTTCGTTGATGCATTCCATCGACCTTACCCTACTTTCAGTGATACAAAGCTTTCTCCTCTAGGTTCTGGCTTCATTTTTGCCTTCATCCTTCTGACTTGTTTCATCCACAAGAATGTTCAGTTGTAGCATTTCAGCTATTTCAAGGGTCGTGATCCGTCGTTCGACATCGTTTTAAAGACATTGCTAGCTCGAACGTTACATAGACAGTACACGGGAGTGCTCATACCAAAGCTCAATATAGAAGGAATGGGCAATTCACATTTAAAAGATTAACCTTTTTCTATCTTATAGGTTAGGTAAGGTTATATTGGCTGCCTGCATCCAGTAGAGAAGAGGAGAAGCACCCAAGTGCACAGTGAACCTATTTTGTTTCCGTTTGAAAGCTCGTTTCGTTCCTATTCGCTCCTACCTAGTGTTTGGCTCCCCGACCTTAATATATTGCACCACACTAATGGGTGTTAAATTACGTTGTATCTGCGTGCAGAAACACATGCATAAGTTGCGGCTGACGTTCCAGCGGTCACACTATATAGAAATAGAATGGTTATGCGAGTTATTATTCTAGTCCTGTATAGGGTAGAGCAGTGCTCAAGGCGTTCAATTTTTTTGAACATACCTAAGCACTTGTCATTTCTTATACCACATACAAACAATAACTGTAAGGCTTTAGCGACAAATTCTGCCTTTCAAGAAGGAAAAATTGAGATGGTATCCATGTCATTGTCCTCCAAGCAATTCCATACTCGACTTGTAGGATCTTTCCTTAATACATGCGCGATATACGCCCAACGTTCTCTCAGCTTAAACGAGGTCCAGCTGTCCAATAGTAATACACATGTAATCGGATGTACTCCCACTCACCCTTTACTCAGTGGGCGCTATTTGACGGTGCTTTCGTAACCTCCCTCGCCCATCACGAAGTTTTCTGCAATACCACTGTGGCCAGCACCCTTATATTTAAGTCTGATACGGAAATATTGAGGAGCGACCGAAAGAGATGTCAAGCATTCGACAACTAGCTTTGAGCAAACCGAGGTTGAGCAAAGGGCTCATGTTGCCATTTCGCTCAGCAAGTTATCAGCTTGAAGCTGAGATTGTGGTCAGGATCTGAGTTTAAAGGCTCTTTACGAAACCCCCAATTAAGATGGGCACAACCTGTTCTCACTTCCCTTAAACGGGAAACCTGTTCGCTCCAAATTTATTTTTTATTCACAAAGTTTCATCTCCTTCAAGCCACTGTGCGCCCACCTAAGCAAGCATTAGTCCTTATTTGCAGATTACTAAAGCCAACTAGGACGCCATACAATAGTTCTTAGTGCAGCAAGTAAACACGAAAAGAACTAGAAAAAAATCACAACAACAATACCAAGAAAATACTCTTATGCAAACTATTCAAGTGAATATTCCACAGCGAACACTTGGCGCTTCCGTTTGGACCCTCATTATCGCTAGGAAGGCAAAACGTTAAAGTCGAACCCTTGCATTTCTGCACAATACACTTAGCACCAACACTTTATGCTGAGGTAAAGTGGTAAAGGGGGCGTATGTATGTATGTACGTACATAAGTTATGCATACCGGGAATACATCTTCATTTCCCTTATCATCGACAACAACAACAATAACAATAAAAGCATTAGCTACAGCATTTTTACACATTTCCCCCACCTCTTTTTCTATTGTCATTCACAGGTTCATTCATATTTCTAACAATCGAGAGCGAAGACTCAACGTTCCTGCATCACCATCATCACCATCATAGTCATCATGCAGTGCTGCAACGACAACGCCAGCAGCAGCAACAGCACCAACAACAACAACAGCAACAGCAACGTACACTTGCATCAACCAAACGTGGTAGTGGCAGTGGCGGTAATGTGGCAAATATTTATCACACTTCACCCGAACAAACGCATCTGGACAATGGCACAGCGTTATCGTCAGTAACCGCATACTCCTCGCTAGCCACCTCTTCCTCCTCCTCGTCAGCTTCCTTGGCATCCTCATCTGCATCATTATCTGGCGCTACGTATTCTTCTACGTCAAATGCTGATTCTTCTTCTGTTCCCAATGCCATGCTGGAGGGCATTGTACCATTGAGCGATGAGAATGGCGACCCGGGCGCTGGGGATTTTAGTTATGGTGATGAGTTGAGCGGTGATGGCGTCACTTCGGCGCACTTGGCGCTGTCGGCGGACACACAGGAAGTACGACAACGCACCATTGAGAATATCTGGGATATAACGGTGTCACTGAATATACTCTACAAGGAGAATTGGACAAAGTAAGTGAGAAGCGAAGATTTTTGGAATTATGATTTATTATGTGTAGTAGGGAAAATAGATGAAATGATGGGTATTTGGTTTAGTATTTTTAATTTAATGTTGTGACGTGATACATTAAAATTTCGAAACTTAAAAAATAACTATTAAGAAGGAAAACACTATGAAATATAGGGCCTTATGAATAAAAACTAAGCAATTGCTTTTTCTTAAAATTTCAGACCTTTTACTCGATTTATTCAAAGAAATTTAAGTAAAAGGTCTGAAATTTTAAGAAAAAGTCTTCCCTCTAGGCCCTTATGGTAGTTTTTTGTATAAAGATGAATATCAATCGAAAGAGGGTTTAGAAGATTTTATTTCTATTCTATATGTAGGAGGGTTGCCACCTGTTTAAAAAGTCAAATACCACTTGAATTAAGAGAAAAAGGTAATTGAAATATGAATCACAGCATGGATGCCAGACAAAGAAGCTTAAGTTCTAAAATATTGTAATGAGGATTGCCACATGTTTGAACAGTTGTATTAAATTAAATTATACACAAGTTATATGAAATATTAAAATATGCAAAAAGAAATCTTTTCTTCAACATTTAAAATATTTTTAGGTTTTTTGTTTAAATAGAGGGGTACCAATCGAAATGGGTTTGAAATTATTTTATTTCTAGTCTATATTTAGGAGGTTTGCCATTTGCCGTAATTTTAGTCCGATTTCAATAATTTTGAACGTTTTTCTTTTATGTGGCAAGCACAATAACCCTACCGAGTTTGTTACAAATTGGTTACAAATTGGTACAAACGGTTACCGAGATACATACATATATGTGATCATATGTGCCACGCTCATTTTCCAAACTTTTATCATAAACGTATTTCTTGGTAAAGAATTGTTGCAAGCGTCAATTTTAAATAAATTAGCTTTAATATTTGCTGATTTGTCGAAGATTTCGTATTTCTCTAAATTACCCTTATATGGAATGTGGGCGTGGTTATTGTCCGATTTTAAAAATTTTCCGCCATTTGGTAGGCTAACAACTGTGCCAAGTTTGGAAGAAATCGGTGCAGCGGTTGCCAAGATATACACATGTGACCACGTGACTACGCCCAATTTTTCAAAAATTTATAATATTCTTATTTTTCATCTTAAAATTATTGTAAACATCAATTTTGAGTGAATAATCTTCAGTAGTTACTAAAATATCGCAGTTTTCGTATATCTGAAAATTACCATTATATGGGAGGTAGGCGTGGTTATTGTCCGATTTTGCCCATTTTCAATAACATTCGTCCTACGCCCTAAAAAAGTACACGTATCAAGTTTCGTTAAGATATCTTAATTTTTACTCGAGTAATCGTGTGCACAGACGGACGGACAGACAGTCACCACTTAATCGATTTCTCTTTTCATCCTGATCATTTATGTATACATTTGTCTATATCTATCTCGATTCGTTTTGCCTGTTACAAAACAACCGTTATGTGAACAAAATTAATATACCCTTGCGCACAAGTGCAAGTAAAAATGTATGGTAATGTAAGACAAAAAAGATTTAATAACGTTTCAGTTAGAAAATAATTTTTAGCAGGGTTGCCACAACTTTGAAAAGTTAAATTTACTTAAATTGTACAGAAATTATAGTATGTACATTAGGGTGGTCCAAAAAGAGTAAAGTCGGAATTTTAATGCTCTCACCCCCTCTCAATTTACGTGCTTAATTGATTTCCCCGCATAATTGGCTAAAAATATGTGTTATCGAAAAGAAATATACCCTTAATTTACCCCGATTAATTGCTCAAAAAGTTGTCGTTAAAAAAATAATCTGGCATTAGAAAAAAAACTATCAAAAATCAACAGTGATTTTAAGCCGTTTTAAACTTGCTCATTACAATAGTAAAACTAAGTCTACATATATAGCTGCATACCAAAAATTTTAAAAAAAAATTCAGAATAAAAATTCGAAATTTTGTATCACAATTTTTATTGAATTTTGCACAAAGTTTTAGACATTGACTGATTTATGTTATAGACTAAATTATATTTTTATAAAAAAATTTACGAAAAAAAATTATCACGTATAGCATTATGCACATTGCAAAAAAATGCAGGTGTGCTAAATTCGTGATCACCACTGTATGCAGTTGCATCTGTTATCTATTTATTTATTAAGAGCAGAATTATAGTGTATACATATATACATGGAATCATGAGTAGATTAGAAATTTGCATCAAATATTTCGCATAATTTTTCTGGCATTTTCCATGAATAGCTTGCGTACAACAGTGCTTACGAGTAATATTTCCAGGTTTGCAGGTTTGCACATTTCATTACAGGAAATTTCGAAAACATTTTGTACTGATGCAAGTATTTTGCTATGTTTTTGAAAATATTAATTTATTATTGTTTTCTATGGAAAAGTTGTGGCATTGTTACGCCACCGCTGCATCTATCTCAGCTTGGCTGTTTGTAATGCTCAATATCGCTGAAATCGTTTGTATCAAATATAGTAATTTAATTTAAATTTAATTAAGTTTCTATTGCTATAGGTAATGTAAGAGTTTAACAAATTTATTTTGATTAAATTTCATTGTTTATGTTCTTGCGGAGTTGTATTAAACTGGAAGCCGAAGTAACCCAAGTAAAAAACTTTAATCGATATTGGTTTTAAATGTTCACGAATTCATTTAGTCTTCTAGACTATTTTAAATATTAAACAAAGGAAATCTACATATATCATACGCCAGGATAGTATGTGCATACATATGTATAAACAAATCAAATTTTTACCCAATTAACTCTTTTCCCCAAAGTGTATATTCAAGTACTTAATTTTACTGCGACTGCAACCTACCTGCATATTTCTTGTTCTCATTAATTTCCATCTTTTTTCTTTCTTTTTCCATTCTCATTTCCCTGCCTACTTGCAGGCTAGCTGCGCTGGAGATTGCCAAATTTCAAGACCAATTAATCAAGAGACTGAATGAGGATGCACTATTGCAATTATCACATGAAATGGATGGCGGCCTGGCTGGTGCGAGCGGTAGTGGCGCAGCGATTGCTGGTAATAGTCCAGCCACGGAAGCTGTACTCCTGCACACACATGGCGGTCAATATGGGCATGGCAACGGGCCGCATGAATGGAATTTCGCTAAAGCGTTTCTCTACTCACTAACGGTGCTAACGACGATTGGTAAGTATTTGCTGTGGAAATTTGATAAAAACGTTAAAAAAAATTTAAATTTAAAAAACACAAAATAAAGTTAAAAAAGAAATAAACTTTAAAAATTAAGTCATTAAAATAAAAACTAAAAAATAGAAGAATGACAAAATGTAAAATAAATTAAAATTTAAAAAATGAATGAATTAAAAAAAATCCAATAATAACTTAAAAAAGGGAAATAAAGTAAAGAAAATAAGCCCCAAATTAGAAAAAATACTTAAAAATTATTGAAAAAAGCTTAAGAAATGTAATTAAATGAAAAAATATAATATACTAGAATAAAATAGACTCAAATAGGATAAATAAAAAAAAAATTTTAAAATAAATTTAAAAAAATAAACTCCATAAAGTAGACTTAATTAGCATAATAAAAATAAACAACAAATTAAAATACAATAAAATAACATAAACTAAAATGAAAAACAATGTAAAAAATAAAACAAAATTTAAACAAATAAATAAAAAAATAAATAAATGTATGTATGAAAAAAATAAGTAACAAAATTATATAAACAAAAAACATTATAACTAAAATAAATTAACACAATGTAACTAAATGTAAAGTTAAATAAAATAAAATTAAGAGAATTTAATAAGAAATTAAATAATGTAAAACAAATTTAAAATTAAAAATGTCGAAAATACTAATTTAAAATAATAATAATAATATATTGGCACTTACATATATGTTAGTGTTAGAATCCAAATTTAAAAACAAAAAACACAAAAATATAAAGCACCAAGAAAATTAAGTAAATTAAAATATATATCTACCAAAAAAAAATAATTAATTTTAAAGTAAATAAAATAAAAAGGAGTTGATATTTATATAAAAAGAATTTCAAAAAAAAACTAAATTAAATTAAATTTAAAAAGTTTTACATAAATATGATTATAGAAAACTTAAATTATTATAAAACAACAGTTTTGAATTTTTAGATTAGGTTAACAGGCTAACCTAATATTCACGCACGCCGCCAATTTATTGTCAAAACTTTCTCATGCACATGCAACTTGTATGAGATCAACCGAAATTGAACGGCGTGCGTATGAAGCTAACTCAATTTCCAATTTTTGTTCTGCGTGACATTTTGATTTGACGTTTCGCTCAATGAAATCAAATGCAAACGCATGCAAGTCAATTTCGGGTGACGCAAAAAAACAAATTCGACGGCATGCGTACCAAAACGCAAGCCGCGAATATTAGGTTAGCCTGTAAGGGACTTAAAGTATTGATCAAGTAACAGGAAAAAAATGCCGTGAGCCAAGAGCAAAGTTCTCTGGTGCAATCCCGGGCGTTTAGACTGTAGCTTTTCGAAAGCTGGGCAAATTAAAAGAAAAAATTGGGACGATTCTCCTGTCAATATAGCCAATATAATTAAAAATAGCGAGTGTGTCAACTGAAGCCGCCTTTTGACCATCCTTGGTCAAAAATACCTTGCAGTAGTATAGGTCCTAGTTTTCGCCCAGCATTCATTCAGCTGACACCAGGCCCATTTCTCAGAAAGTAACTACTCGCACTACTCTTTTTCTCAATGAGTCCGACTTGAAGGTGCACATCAGCTGCCACACAGTTTCCAGCAACGTCACTGTTTCCTGATTAAAAAACTTAGTCGTGATCTTAGGAGAGGTCAAACATGCCCTAGGTAGCTTTGAGCGCACTGTGAGCAAACTCCAGGCGTTGATTGCTGTTTTTGTCGACGTCGCGCAAACTAACATCTTATCGACTGGCCTCAAAGTATATTATTATTAAATATTACTGTAATCAAAAAGCCAAATTGGATAATTGTTGATGGAGAGTTTCCCGCAAAAGATGCCTCCACCGACCTACGCGTTAAACTTCGAGCCGTGCGTGTAGAAGTTCAGCAATGCCTTCATACAACCAACGTCTCCCGACTACTCATCCGTGAAAGGAATGTGAGTAGAGAATGGGCTGTTTAATTGGTGGCAGAGGAGCTTATTTGAGAGAATCTAGCCAAACAGTGTTCGATGTGCTATCGGTAATAAAATTGAAGCCTCCAAAAATATTAGAGTTTTTAGACTCTGAGTAGCCTTACCAACGAAGTCGACCGGCGCTGTGATAAACATCATATCAAGAGCTAAAGGCAGGCATGTAGTGGTCCTCAATGCCCCAATGATTCCCTCGAATTAAGTAGCGTAACCTTCTATGGCTTTCTTAAAAAGTTATGGGCTTCCATGTGGGTTTCCAGCGCCTGGAAATTATGTTAGGAAGGAGGTTTTGCCTCTTAGTGGAAAGCTAAAGCCGCAAAAGTATTTTGCTAGTTTTAGTAAACATTTTTGTAGCCTCGTTTAAAGTTGTTGCCAATTTTCATGCTAGACCTTCTTTCAATGCCAGTTTCTTACACCATCACAGAAGAACATTCTCTTGCCCATATTCAACAATCTTGAGGAAGTTTATCTGGAATACTATAAATGTTGTAGATAATACATACGACATATCAACACTCTTAAGCAGAAGAAATGTGCGAAAGCATCATTTATACATGCACATACACCCACATGCACAGCGGGAAGTATCGTAAATTTTCATTTATGCCAATGACAATAATGGCCAATAATGGAGCACAGTTAGACTCGAGTATAAATAGAATACTATATGAATGTTTATGCGGGACTATTTATATAGTACATACCTATGTACATATGCATGTTTGTGTGAGTGCGTACAGCTTCTCGGCACACTCACGTGCATATGCATAAATACTACTTAAACTATACACGCACACTCCTTGCGATAGGAACAGAAGTCATGCGAGCAGACAACATAAAGACAACAATGCTTGCTGTTGAAAGCCAACCGAAAGAACAATGCGTGTACGCAAAAAACAATAAAGAATCTTCATAATATATTTGCAAATTGCCAATATCAGCAGAAATTTTCCGTTTCTGCTCTACTTTTCTTTCAATTTGCAAATTTTCTCCAATGGCACAAAAACAATTGCAAAAAGTATTGTATATACTAGTATTTGGACATACATACATACGAGAATACAATACCCAATATTGCTTGTTGTAGCTTAAAAGGCTCTACATCTGCATACATTATGCCAATTTGCTATGCTAGCTTCCGAAATAAACTGAATGACGAAACAAAAATTATTTTTCATCAATTCTTATACGCAATGCTTTGCGGCAATTCCACAGCTTAACAAGTATAACATATAGCACGAGTTTATTTGTTTTTGCTGGTGTGTATTTGTATTGGTGTGGTAGTTTTATAGCCGCGTGTTCCAATATACACTGTCCCATATATGTATGTATGTAAATACATTTGTACATATGTATATATATTAGGAATGTTAATACCGGGATCCTGGCCTTTTTAGGTCCCAAAAATCCCGGAATTTTTGTCAAATAATCCCGGGATTTTCGGGATTTGTAATTTGCAGTGATGGCAATAATAGAAACTCCCTTTCTTGACCAGTATTGGCTACATTTCTTTTTTTAATTAATAATTTATATTTGTTTATAAAGGTCTAGCTCATTATACATATAACACCGCGCGATAGTAAATTTTAAACACAAAAATCAGTATATGCGCGCAACCATGGACCAAATATAGTAAAATTGCGTTTTTAGTACTTCACTCTGACGTTTGTAATTTAAAAATGATTTTAAAAATTCAGTGAAAGTTGCCTAGAGAAGAAATATGGGTATCAAATTAAAGAGGAAATTCTGTCCAATCTAAACAGATTCAATTTTTTGGTGCACAAGGACTTGTAAATATCAGGGACCAAAAATAACTGTTATCTCGAATTTACAAACTGAAAACGTTGCCTGAATTCTGAAAATTAACGAAAACGTTGTTTCATAACAGTTAATAGATGAGAAATATTTTTTCCGTTGCTGATAAGAGTTATTTCCCAATGTTTATTTTTTACGTTGCTCGATAACGGGTATTGCCCAACGTTTATTTTTTACGTTGCCTGAAAACAGTTATTGCCCGACGAATATTTTTACGTTATCTGATAATAGTTATTTCACTCTCTCACTTTTATTTCATCGTCTTTGTCTTATTCTCCATCTCCATCTTCATCAATATCCTAATCTTACAACGTTGATCAGACAACGTAAAAAATAAACGTTGTAAAATAACTCTTATCCAGCAACGTAAAAAATAAACGTTGGGAAATAACTCTTATCGGCAACGGAGAAAATATTTCTCCTGCATAACAGTTATCAGGCAACGTAAAAAATAAACGTTGGGTTATAACTCTTATCGACGAAATAAAAAATATTTCTCATCTAATAACTGTTATGGAGCAACGTTTATGCTATAAAACTTATAACTGTTATGTCCCTGATAAATATTGAAAAAGTCCTTTTAAAATCTTATCCTTGAAACTTCGAAACTCGATAGCGTCCTCGGATTTCGTCCTTTTGCCTTTATCAGCTTAAAAAATTACCAATTCGTCATTGTGAATCCAAACAAAATTTTTTTTTGTTTTTATTCCAAAGAAATTTCCTCTTGCATTTAGTACCCATATTTTTATTCTACATTGCATTGAATTTTTTTAATAGTTTTCGGAATTAGCTTTGAAATTACAAAATCCTTTAAAACAAGTCCTGACGTCAGAGAGAAAAAATAAAAACGCCACTTTAAATAAAAATGTTTGAAACCTACCCATTTATTTATTATTTATTGTATGGTAGGAGAGATAGAAGCAATTTTTCGGTTTAAGTTGTTGAAAAGTAGTGAATATTTAAATCCCGGGACTAATCCCGTGATCCCGGGTTTGTTATAACGACATCCCGAATATCTCGGGATCGTAAAAAGCGAAAAAATTTACATCCCTAATATATATGTATGTATATATTGGCTTTTGTTTTAGTTGTAAGTAATTTGCCAATAAATGAAATGCAAAGCATATGCACAGGCGCATCAGCCCTGTCATTGTGACTTTGTATTTCATGACTTTTGAGCCAAGCTTTACAGCTATGAAAATGTCCAAAAGAAAAAACTAGCAATAAACATTTCCACTGCAAGCAACAAAAAAGAATGTGGACCTTCAGTTTGCGAATTAGCTTCTTTTCTTTTGTATATATTTGAGATGATTAAAATTGGTAGCCATCGAACGTTTCTTAGGGAAATGACTTGGTAAGTAGTAGACATATCTGCAGGAGATTAATATTATAGTTAGCTGCTTACTTACTTCTGCACGTGGGCTCTTATCATCCTCGTAGAAGCACCTAGCTGAGTTTGTTGTAAAGAGCAGTAGAACGCGCGGACTTGTTTGAAGATAAAGAAAGAAGGACAAAGTTTCTAGCGTATTCTGTTGGTTTTATAATTTCGGATTTGGTGGAAACATGCTGGCTGGACATGGCAAAAGTTTCCCGCATTTAACGAGGCGCGCGTTTTGGATAAATGCAAAATTTGATTAATATAGTAAAGTTTTTTTAAATATTTGATTTATTTTAAAGCAACATCAGTAGAATCTAAGCCAAGAACATACAATTTGAATAAAATATGTTAGTGATATTTACCACTCTTTTAGCTTTACTGACCAAGTCCAAAGAACAAAATGCTAAATTCGTTTCTATGAAATTCTATGAAATTTTACTCGTTGCTATTTTTAAGTCCCTAGATCTCGAAAATATGCTTCTTTTTCGCCAATCTAAAATCTGACCTTTAGCTATTATCCAGGGATTCCAGGCCACTGTGCCTTGCATTCGAACAGATCTTTCACGGCTTTCAAAAATCATTGAGAAGGTTAAATCTGGAATTCTACCTCCATCAAAATCCGTCACGCACAAACGTCACCTCTTTCTAAAAGCCAAAGTCATTCAGACAGACGGTACTGTAATGGCAGATTTTTACTGAGCATTACATTAAAAAAATGTATAATAGCAACATTAGAACATTAGAAAGTAGCCGTGTTAAATCATTTAGTTCGTTTCCAAATTACATTTTTTGAATACAAAATTTTAACTTAAGCCGAATTTGCACTAGGCATTAAAATGACAAAAAATTGGCGCCATTTAAAAAATGCCATCTGAAAATTAACTAAATGATACTTTTTTTAAAGTAAAGACACGAATATTTTTTACTGCCAAACTTTATCATTACAATTTTTGCCATTTAATGCCTAGTGGAAATCCAGCATTAGATTTTTTTATGTCTCCTTTGGTTCTTTCTTTGTACTTTTGGAAAATATATTTTCAATCGGCGCTGTGTTCGGTCGATTTCCAACTTTGAAGACTTTCTTTTTACCCTAAGAACTTGATTGCCTTTTTAAAACGAGTTCAACTCCCATAACATACAAGCATGTAAATTTATAACTTTACGTACATTTTTGCTCGCAATAAAACCGCCACTTCACAAGCGTTAAAGAGGGGGTATATGAAAATTTTCAATAATCGGCTTGAAAGTTAAAACAATATGTGCTTGTAAATATATGCAATAAAAAGAGGAGTCTTTCATCTACATACTTAATTTTGCACTCCCTTTCGGAATTCAATCAGTCAATATTGTAAATTTTTACTGTTATTAGTGTAATTTAAAACAACACAAATGGCATTTCGTACGATACATTTCAGGCATTCAAGCGCAACATGCATGCCATTTCATGAATATCTTATTGTTTTATCTGTCAATCGAGGGTAATGAAAAAATGCTTAATATGAGTCAGATAAGCGTTCAATTTTGGCATACAAACGGCAGTTTATTTGCTGGTACAATGTCGTTTAAGTATAAGATGTGCAATTTTTTTTTAGCCTTCATTTACATATGTGTGTGTAGTAGCTTGATGCTTGATGAAAAACGCTTGATATGAAGTTGTTAAATATGAAGCGTTGGAGGTGTATGTAGGTGGTGTGGTCCTCCGAGTCTTGAAAATTACCAAAAGAGTCATTTTAAATAGGCAATTACATTTCTGCCTTTTCCCAGTTTATTTGCTTCAAGCATAAAAAAAAAATTAACTATTTGCAAAAATTGTTTTCCAAATTAATATTTTGTAACTTTATTCCTTGTTTAAATATGCTATTAGTAACAACCTGCACTTTTGACAAAAATTAGAAATTAAGTCAGGGTTGTCAATTAAAAAATTTCTTTGTCAATATTATTGTGGCGAATTATTATTTATTTGTACCACGATTATTTTTTTTAAGAAAAATTAAAAAAAAAAAATTTTAATGCTCCAAAAACTGTTTGTTTTCTTATTTTTGAGTAGAGTTTTAACTGGTACCGCTGTATGCTGCTGTCGTGCTATATTCAAATTTTAGATGAATTAAAAATTTTCAAAGATTTTCAACTGTTTTAAAAAAAAAAATAGCTGGTGGTCGGTAAAAAAATGTCCCTTTTCTTGAGTAGATTTTTACTGGTAGCGGACAAAAAGTTTTAAAGATGGGCATTAAAAAAAAATTGTTTTTGTAATAACTAACTGGTAACCGGTGCAAAAAAAATGGAAAAGTTCAATTTGAAATTTACATTTCAGTAGATATTAAGAAATTAATTAATTGGTCCATATAAAAATAATTATAATATTTGATTCTTTGAAATTTCGGTCAGTCTTTTTTTTCTTTTTGAATTCTATTGAGAAAATTTAATTTTATGGAAATGACCGAAATTTCCGAGAACCATCCATTGCTGTAATAACTTCTTCCAAATAATAAACTTTTAGGAAAAAATATTATCAAAATCCCAAAGGTAGTTTTCATAGAATAACATTTTAAAAAATAGCCCCTCTGTATTTTTAATGAATTACAGCATATTTTTTTGTTTATTAATCATTACTGCGCGTTACATTTATTTTAATGGACATACGATCTGAATCAAGATTTTATTATTTGTGCCGAATGGATGTACATTGAATTTGACATAGTGAAAACAAGATTTAAAGTAGACCTAACGGCACTCCTACAAATTTAGGAATTTTCGTCAGCTAAATAGCTTATGTGTTACGTACTTACATACATACATATTTAAGGGTATTCCATTGCTTTGTTCAAAAAAAATTATACTTTCATTTTTGAATACAGAATTTTTTTTAAAGCTTGTATACTTAATATAACATGTGCAAAGTTTCATAGATCTGCCATAAGAATTTAAAAGGTTGTAAATTTTGTGACACCTAGGCTCTATCTGACACACTGTACGGTTACCTTACCTTCACATTTTCAGTTATTGGGTGAAGAAATAGTCCCAAAATTCCCTCATAAACTTAAATTGCTGGTTAATTAATCGTTATATATATATGAGCTTAACTTTGATGAAGAAATGGCTAGTTTCACGCTTTTCAGCTTCACTATCCAGAAATTCCGAGGGGTTGAAAGGCAGATAAAGAATATTCACGGGTCGGGAGCTGTTTTCTAATATTAAAGTTGCTTAAGTTTTATATAACTACAGTACATTTCGCTAAAATATTGTTTTGCAAACCAGGTTTCGTATGAAGATTTCACTTCACAAGGGTAGCCATCGGCGTTCACCTCTTCATGGTTGTAAGACATTCAGAGTCCGCCATAAACTCGGGAGGGGTTGCCCGGAGCACACGTCAAGCTAGGCTGAGCACGGTCTGATGTGCGAATGCAACTATACGAAATGTACTGTATTTGGTTATTTAACTTCAGATAGAGTACATTTCCTATGTCCGAGCAGGGTTGCATCTGGGTAACTGTGATCTCTTTTTTTCACCATCTCAAACTTATTTATAGCTATTTTACTTTGAACTAGCCTTAACATAATTTCTTACCGTATTCCGGCTTCTACTAAACTCGTTCATTTTTTTTTCTTTTTATTTCTTCTAAATTCTTCACACAGGCTATGGCAATATTGCACCACGCACAACACTCGGCCGTTTGGTTACGCTCGTCTATGCCATTTTTGGCATACCACTTACGCTCGTTTATCTCTCCAGCACCGGCGGCATTCTGGCGAAAGTGGCACGCGAAGTGTTCTCCAAAGCGCTGTGCTGTTGCCTTTGCTCAAATTGCGGCTATTGTTGTTACGATGAAAAGCGTATGGCCGAAAAAGAGCGCCGCATGAAACGCAAACGACAACAGGAGGAATTACGTAAACAGCAGGCTGCCTTACAGGAACCCTATTTTGTACACGACTCATTTCCAACAACCGAAAAACAATCAAACCTAGCGGGTAGTGGCACACAAATGCTGCCACCTGATATCGATTCACTGAGCGCCAGCGAATCACGTGGCTCAATGCACGGGCTAAGTATATTGGCGCCAATTTTGTTGTGTCTTTCGATGATGGTTATTTACATACTAATCGGTGCGGTGGTATTGTATCGACTAGAAGATTGGCCTATACTCGATGGCATCTACTTTTGTTTCATGAGTTTGTCCACAATCGGTTTCGGTGATATGCTACCGGGGTTACGGCGTGAGTCCACTGCAACTACATGGTTTTGTTCGATATACATAATGTCCGGCATGGCATTGACAGCGATGTGTTTTAATGTTATACATGAGGAAATTGTGCATCGCATCAAAATTGTGGTGGAATTCAAGAAAGGTGCTAACGTATTGGATACGATGAGTGAGGAGCAGGGATACTATATGCCGCCTTGACAATATGAAAAGGGCACAAGTTTGTACAAACGTAATCCCACCGAAGAGACGCTGGTATCGGGTGAGTAGTAATTTTGCTTCAAGTGAACTGAAACCGGTATTATTAAAAGTATTTTTATTTTATTTTTTTTATTCGCAGGCACACCCACTTCACTCACCTATGGCGCTCAACTGGAAACGGATCTAAATCAAATGCAGCAAATGAAGGAATATATTAATCACGAGCTCGTACCTATACTCACCATGGATCCAAATAGCTCGTCAACAAGCTCTACACATCTGCTGAAGGGCAGTGGTGCCACTTTAAATAATTTGACGCCATACACAAGCGCTACAGCCACTGCTACTACGCCAACAAATATTCTGCCAACTGGTATGGGTATGTCTACCTTAAATACGCCGCTCTTGGAGGAATCCGCGCAGTCTTGTTTGGAAACTATCGTTAGCGGCAGCGGACCACAGGCGACGTTGGGAGTTTACACGCTCAGTGAGGAGCCGGAAATGGATAGTTAAATTAACTAGGCAAAGTAGAGAAAAAATTTAAGACAAATGGAAAACAATGGTAGATTTAGTATTTGTAAATTAGCGGAAGTCTAGCGCTAGGAAGGTTGTTTGTTCATGTTTTTTTACTTTTCTTTTGTAAATACTGAACTGTACTATAGATGAAAATGATAACTGTAGAGATACATACATACGTATATCAGGCGAAAACAAAATTTTGGAAAATATTGCAACTGCACGCATGTGAATACTATAATCAATAATCAAATAATATTCGAAGTATGCATTACACTCCGATTGAAGACAAGATAACTTCCAGCGCTTTGAGTTGCCCTCCATTAATTCTCAGTGAAGTCGACTTCCACTAGAATAAGTCGGACCATTTAACAGCGGCAAATATTTAACGATTTTCGTTTTCTTGCAGATTATCGTCCTTTTCTAGCCTTTTTGAAGCCGAGTTCGTTAAAATCGACAAACTCGGTTTGGCAAGGATATGAATCGATAGCCAAGAATTGATTCAGTCTGTCTGAACATTGGTAATTCAAAACAAATAGAAAACGTGTTGATGTTTTTCTAAGATATTTCATAATAAACTTCTCAGCTTTGCTAGATTTTTTTGTACGCAAAAACACACCCGAAAACACCCTCCTGAAAACGGATTGAAATAGAGATGCTTATAAAAAGCAACAAAATAGCTCAGAGATTTTTTTCTTCTTTATTTAAAGCAACAAGATTACGGAAATCGGCGAAATATGGTACTTGTACATACAACTCTCCGTTTGCAAACAGAGAAACGTACTCGTATAATCTAAAATATTCTAATGCTTACAAACGTATGTAAATAACAACAACAAAAACGAATGCCCGTGCATAGGTAATGGATAAATTACTTAAATCATAAAAAAATAACACCCAAATTCATAAATTGCTTTATAAATTGAAAATTTTTATGAAAATATCACTTTATAGGGGTCCTTAAACCTATTTTATTTTTTATGGATAAGGCCATAAGATTAAAAATATGTACACCCCTATATACATACGTATTTATGTACATTAGGATGGTCCCAAAACCTAAAGTCGGAATTTTAATGCTGCTACCGCCTAGGATTTTCTATACCGAAAAAATAGATCACAATTTTTTTTTTTTAATCAAAAAATATTTGTAGGAAGCTCAAGGTGCTCAAAGTTTTCCATGTATTTTATACAGGGACCGAGAACGCATTTCGGTTTTGGTTTAGTTCTGCACGAGAACAAAATTTAATGCTACAAATATTGTGAGCAGTTTGAGTGGAGAAAAAATGGGAACAAAAGTTTCGGTAACGTTGCCATAGAGAACAAAATGCGAAAAAAAACTCTCGGGAACGTTCTTACAAAGGTCAAAATGAAAACAAAACTCTTAACAGCGTTCTCAAGAAGAGCAGAGTGAGAAGGAAATTTTCGGCAACGTTTCCAATGCTATCGAGAACGTTTTCAAGGAGGATAAAAGGGTAACAAAAATCTGGGGGACGTCCTGCTAGAGAACAAAACGAGAACAAAAGTTTTGAGAACTTAACGTTAAGAATGAGAGGGGCGCACAGTGCCGCGAAGGTGGACAAAAATACAAAAATCGACTGTCTTGAAACTTAGATGTTTTGATGTCAAGTTACAGCTAAATCTCCAACTAAGAGAAGTTCATAAGTTATTTTGTGATAAAAACAACTTTCAGCCTCACGCGCCCCCTCAAAGTACACCTATTTTCTACATACCATTTCATTTCGGCGATTCGCACATAAAAGTGGTCGCAGTTAAAAATTTGTTAAAAATACATTTTTATTCCTAGCAAGATCAACTTTTGCACTTTGATAAAGATATATGCGACAAACCAACAAATGTATGGTTCATGGAAAAAAAATTTATACAAATATTTTTTTTTTATTAATAAATAAATATATGATTAAACATACCAAAATCCGAAAATTGGTAAACTTTGGAGACAAAAACAAAAAAACATCTTGAAAGTTCGTGAAATTTTTTTTTTGGTTATGGTAGTTTGGACCTTCTACTAACAGAAACAATCGAAATCTCTTCCAACTTTTTCCAATATTTGAAAATTTTCAATTTTGAAAAAGTGACTAAATGCCTTTTTTTGGTATTATTTTAGCTGATCTATATTTACAATACTTTTTCTGAATGCCCTAAGATCTAAATTTTTGGTTCGCTTTTCAAAAATAAGGTGTTGAATTAAAGCTAAAAGTGCAAAAAAAAATTAAGAGGTACAGGGTGCTTTGAAATGAAAAAAATTATCAGCTAATTAAAATACTTAAATATGCATCACGGTATGGGAGCCAAAAACAAAGGTATACGAAAATTTACATTTATATATATATACATATATATATATATATATAGAGCAATGACACCAGTTTACAAATAATATGTTAACCAATTTGGGTAAGGAAATAAATGCAATCGAGACACCTTACAGCCCCCAATGATTAGACGAAAGGCGAACAAAAAGAAAATAAAAACAAGTAAGAAGGTCTAAGTTCGGGCGGAGCCGAACATTAAATACCCGGCGCAAGTATTAAAGATATGTTTTCCACCTTGCCGAAAGCTACCGCTACATGATAAGCCGGGGTGTATACATTTTAAGTAAATTAGCGTCCTTAAAGTTCGACATATTGAAATTTCAAGCATTTCTGAAATTTATTGTTATATGAAAAGCGGCCGTAATTTAAGACCGATTTCAACAATTTTCAACGGTTTGCTTTTATGTGGCAAGCACAATAATCATACCGAGTTTGGTACAAATTGCTAGAACGGTTAGCGAGATACATATATGTAATCACAAGTGGGCGGTGCCACGCCCATTTTCCAAAATTTTATCATAAACGTATTTCTTGGTAAAGAATTGTTGCAACCATCAATTTTGAATAAATTAGCTTTGATATTTACTGATTTATCGAAGATTTTGTATTTCTCGAAATTACCGTTATATGGAATGTGGGCGTGGTTATTGTCCGATTTTAAAAAGTTTCGGCCATTTGGTATGCTGTACCAGGACCAACAACTGTGCCAAGTTTGGAAGAAATTTGTGCAGCGGTTACCAAGATATACACATGTAACCATAAGTGGGCGTGGCTACGCCCATTTGCCAAAATTTTAAAACATTCTTATTTTTCGTCTAAAACTCATTGTAAATATCAATTTTGAGTGAATAATCTTCAGTAGTTACTAAAATATCGCAGTTTTCGTATTTCTGAAAATTACCGTTATATGGGAGGTAGGCGTGGTTATTGTCCGATTTCGCCCATTTTCAATACCATCCGTCCTACGCCCAAAAGAAGTTCACGTACCAAGTTTCATTAAGATATCTCAATTTTTACTCGAGTTATCGTGTGCACAGACGGACAGACGGACGGACGGACGGACGGACAGACAGTCACCGCTTAATCGATTTCTCTTTTCATTCTGATCATTTATGTATACATTTGTCTATATCTATCTCGATTCGTTTTGCCTGTTACAAACAACCGTTATGTGAACAAAGTTATAATACCCTTGTGCACAAGTGCGCTCGGGTATAATAAATAACATACCTATTACTCTTCATCTGCATAAAGAGTACTATTTTGCTTAAGCAGCAAACAAAAACAGCTTGCGAAAATGATAGTACAAATGTATGCACATCAGGGAGGTCCAATTTTTTTATATTTTTTTTTTTTTGATTCGAGTCTTTTTATAATTTTGTTCACCTAACTAATTACATTACCTGTGCAAAAATTTCAACGTTTTACTATTAGTGGAAAATGTTGCTCAACGCGAGTTTAAAATTTCATGAATTTTTCTCTGGTGCTAAGAGTCCTCTCTTGTGGAAAACAAATAAAAACCCAAGAGTTTAGTGTTTTGTTGAACGAAACAAGAGAGTTATACCTTAGAAATTATGGTTGGTATAACATGCCAAGTTCAGTGCATAAAGTTTTAGTACATGGATGTGATGTAATTAAATACTTTGATTTACCAATAGGTAATGATTTTAAAGCTATGTTTTCATTTATTTTCTTAATCTGTATTTCCACCTATTTTATCAGGTTCATTATCAGAAGAAGCCTTAGAATGTTCACACAAAAACATAAGAAAATATCGGCTTAATCATTCTCGAAAAACTGGAAGAGTACAAAGCAATACGGATTTAATGACTCGTTTGATATTATCGTCAGATCCATTAGTTGCATTTAAAAGAAATATAAAACAGAGAAACAAATATTTAAAGGGTTCTGATCTCAGCTTTAATAAATACATTGTTGAAAGTGACGAAGCAGACAAAAGCATGGAATCATTTGAATCAGTGATCACTTCCTCCTCTTCTGACACTGAAACTGAGTGATTATAACAACTAGTTCGGTTTTTATTAACATATTATATGTTATTACCATATAACAGTTATTATTACTTACTTACTTAACAGTGATTATGCTTTATTTTAAATGAAATCAAAAGAATTTTTTTTTCTAAAGGTTAACATGTAAGGAAAACCGACTTAATTTTTCAAATTACCATAATGTATTCACTTAGGAAGTATAGTTTAGACGAATTTTGACTATTAAGACTATTTTTCTGAACACTTAGCAACAATGATATGCCATATTTCATTTTTAAATAATCATGTGCAAAAACTCGGTGGGTACCCGTTACAAAAACACCGATTACTTTCTTAAAATTAGAGTAATATAGACACTTCAGATGTAAAGTTTCAATAAATTCTGACGACTCCTTCCTGTTTTCGTAAACACCACAATCAGCAATGATTATGCCTTATTTGTCTTTCATATAGTAATGTAAAAAAAAAATCTTTTTTTTTTAATGGGTACCCGGTACCGAAAAATCGATTTCATTTTTGAAATAAGCATGGCTTAGTCATTTTAGGTGTAAAGTTTCAACAAGTTCTGAATACTATTTCGGTTTTTATAAACATATGTCTACGATGATTATGAGTTATTTTACCTTTTTATAAAATTGTATAAAAATTTTTTTTTTAATTAAATGGTAACAGATGCTGAAAAACGTTTTTTTTTCTTAAATTGCGGTGATATAGTCCTTTCAGGTGTAAAGTTTCAGCCCATTCTGATGCCTCCTTCCACTTATAGCAACACATGTCCACAATGACTATTTTCATATAAAAATGCAAGAAAAACTCGGTTTTCTCGAAATGAGTAACCGGTACAGAAAAACCGATTTCATTTTTGAAATTAGAGGGGCATAATACTTCTAGGTGTGAAGTTTCAGCCAATTCCGACCACTCCTTCTATTTTTGTCCATCATTTGTATGGAGTCGCGGCACTGTGGGGCGTCTGCGTGTTGAAATGAAATATCATTTCGGTGAGAGTGATTAATTTTAAACCAGATTAATGCTGAATCATTTCAACTTCTAGATTGTTTATCATTAGCGTGATAAGTTCATTTTTCATTCTCTGTGCAAGTTCGTGTCTTAGGTTTTTCGTTGACTTAATTTACATTAAAATTTTGTTTTCGGTCGCTGGTTTTATATAGGAGAAGCAAAATTTTTCGTAGAAATGGTATGTATAGAATTCTTGAAAATCAATATTTTTTCATCAAGAAACTTTACTTATCTCCAGGAGACTTCCAAAAATAATACCCAATTCTTTATAATATTAACTGTTTTTTTAAAGGTCCCACAAAAAATGCAAGGGGATGGGGGCTCGGTGCGGTTATAAAAAATCGCTAGTATTAAAAAACGGTAAAATAAACAAGTGGGCATTATAATTGGAAGTTTCCTGAAGAGAACTAAGCTCATCGATTGAAAATATAGATTCTCAAGAATCATATACCATTTCCACGTAAATTTTTTCACCCCCTTATATAACATACATGGAAAACTTTGAGCGCTTCGAGCGACCTCTAAATATTTTTGATTTCAAAATA